TTTTTTTTTTTTTTTTTATTTTTTTTTCTGCGAATACAACAGCTAAATCCCTCACTTGTGTATTTAACCAACTCTCCCTGGAAGCTCCGGAGAGTTCATGAATATGCACAGAGGAGAGCGTTTCCCGGGGAGGCTGCCTCTATAATAAGCTGATCGAGCTGTGCCTGCAGCAGAGCTGTTCTCCTGGGGGAAAAGTTGGGCGCCAGAACTGAGCAGCTTTGTGTCCCCGACTTCACGGAGGGCTGGCCTGCTTCCCTGGGGAGGAGGAGAGTCAGCAGAGCCATGCTTGGGGATGTTAGCTGCTCCAGCCAGGCAGGATCCTCATCTCTGACAGCAGCTGGTGTCAGATCTTTATCTAGAAGATGTAAAGAGAATCATGTACCTGGCACGTTTAAGGTAACCTTCCTGTTTTATACTGCCTTATGTAGAAACTGACTTTTCTTGCCTAAAAACCCTGGCTGGCTTAGTAAGGGCATGACTTTGCTTAGCAGCAGTCCCAGTTGCAGCCCAGTCCTGGGCCCTTTACCATTCCAGGTGGTCTCCAAAGACAAGCCAGAAAAGCAGCCTGTGTCCTGGGGAAAATGGACTCTTCCGTGTTCTTTCCTCTTTGGTGATGTGGTGACCAAACCTAAGGAGTGGGGCTGGTTGCCACTGCCCAGGTGTTTGAAAGCACTCGAGAAGGGTGGGAGCTGAGTATAACTGAAAACCTCTGGGACAGAGGGAGTCAGATGCAAGTGGCAGGTCCCTCAGGCATGTGTAGGACCTTGCATCTTCCTTGCTGCTGCATCCTGTGTCGCTTGCACTTTTGGTTTGTACACAGGCACAGCAGCGTGCTGGTTAGCAACCTTAGCATAGGCAGTTTTTAGGATAGTATTTTGACAGCTGTGCTGAGTCTGTTAGGATTTAATGTAGTATGCAAGCGAATAAGTTCCTTTAAAACAAAGCCAGTGCATGCCCTCTTCTGCGGCTGCAAGACATGACTCAAGTTAAGTGGGATGAGGAGCACTTTTATAATTCAAATGACTTTTTGCTCACAAAGCCACATGCAGATGCACATTAAATCTGCTACCCTAAAAGCTCAATTTTTAAAAACAGTTTTCCCATGAAAATTTGGGTGAGCTTTTGACACTAGCTTTCTATTCTCACTAGTAAAACTTTGCTCAGGGACACTATTTTTCCCTCTTCCTCCCCAACAACCTTGTGAAATGTTGATAAAGATATTATCCACAGCATCAGCTTCCTTTGATTGCTCTTTTAGGCTGTGTGTCTAGATGGAAACCTAGCAACACAATAACTGTATTGAAGGGAGATGTTTCAATAGCTATACTTCTTTTATCACACTGGATACATCTTCAGAGGTTAGACTCATCAAGCCAGTCTCTTTACCCCTTTGGAGCCTTATGGTTTGATTCCCTAAGCCTGGAATAAAACAGACTCAAGCTAGTGAAAAAGACAACAAAGATGGAATGGAAGTGCTTATTACGATAAAAGATCCATTCCTCCTTTCTTCTTGCTGCCCCTGTGAATACCTGCTGTATTCCCAGGGGGAAAATACTCCACTACGGAGGGAAGATGCTTGTCTGATAGAAAAATGATTCAAGGGGAAACTAGCCATCAACATTTGTGACCGTTTCACCTAGACACACACGGGGGAAAGCTAAGGGACAAATGGCCCAGAGCAATATGTAACAGTATAATATGTGAGAACCAGACTGGCATTTGGCGAGTAACATCAGCATCGTTCCAATCACCTACTGTGATGAAGATTGTGATTCAGTTTCTGCAACGTACAGAGCCAAATTCATCCTCAGGGGTGAAAAAAAAAACCCCCTAACCAGACCACCACCTGAAGTCACTGACACCCTATCAAGATTTATCTGACTAGCTATATTATAGTGTTCTCAGCTCATTGTACATACTGTCTCTTTACAGCAGTGGAGAAAGGCACTTATAGGGAGTCACAGTGACAATATCTGACTGGCTCTGTGTAATTTGGGGGCACAGAAATGAGGGATTTCACACTGCTGAAATGTCTGTTATCAGGTGTTTGGGGAGAATGCTTTTGAAAGGTGCTAAAAATTCTCTCAATACCTAGAATGTCCTTGGCCATGCCTCCCAAGATATTGTACTTTTTCAGCATTAATGAATGAAACATCACAAATGCCTTTGTCACACCAGTAGAAAAAGTGGTCAAGTTACAGGAGAACTTTGACCGCTTCTGTATCTGTGATTTCTGGGCCATCAATGAGAAATGTTTTTAACAAGCTGTGTTGTGCAGGAGTTTATGGGGGTAGCTGTGATCTGTGTGTATGTATATGTAACTATAGCATGAGAGTGATAGGATGTGTGCATTTCAGTATGGCACTGGGGGAGGGTATGAATATGGTGTTAACATTTTGCATCCAGAAAACCCCAGCACATCTGAAATCCTCTTGTGATGCCAGTGCTCTGAGATAAGTGCTGCTTATACAAAGACTTGCCTGTTGGGTACAAGTGTTTAATAAGTAAGCTTGACTGAAACTGGAGAGGGATAGGAGTTCATACCCTGACGGCATATGGAAAATCTGGATAAGCTGTGATTTTTATTTCTGGAATTTGAACAGGTCCTCCTGTGAGTCCCAGGGTCTCTGGGTGATGCTGCCATCATTTCCGTGCATGCCAACATGCAGTAAATCCTGGCAAGGCTCTCTTTAGCACGAAGCATTTAGCATACAGTTGGTTTAATCCTCTAATCTTATGAAGCACTAACATAAATGAGAACTGAACAGATTAATTCATTCTAAAAAATCAAACCCTCTATATTTCTCAATGTAGAGCACAAGGTTTTGCCTTTTACTTACCTGATTGTTTTTTGTGGGTTTTTTTTTTATCCATTGTTTGTTTTAAAGTATTGGACTATAGATTTGGGCTCAGTGATGAAGGTACTTGGTAATCGGCTCTCTTGTGATGTGAGTTTATTTGCTGTTTAAGTAGCCTCAGGGGATTTCGGGATCAGAGCCAGTAATGTGGTCAGGGAGGCTTGGCTACTGGAAGTTGCAAGGTTGGCAGAGGAAGGAGTTGCTGGTAAGTGTGGGTACTTGTAACCTCCTTGGTGACAAGCAGTCCTGTTTACTTTTTGTTCCTTTTGTGCCAGTCAAGAGGACTGGAATATGTGCTTTGCCTTCTTTCCACAAACCTCCCTGTTTCTCTCTATATAGAGAGATAAAACGGTCCTCACGAGGTGCTTGTGCAAGCTGCCATTCAGCTCTGTGAATGTGTGGCCAGGGGCAGGGGAATGTGTTTCCAGACCTTGTGATGAAGTTGAACAATGAAATATTAGTTTCTAGCACTCCGTTATGTCTCCCTTGTGATACTACAGAACAGGCTATCTCTTTAAATGATTGATTTCACACAGATTTACTTGAGTTCATTCATCTTGATGCAGCTTTACCAGGGTGAATTTTCTCTGAGGTCTGGCCTTACTGATGTCTTTTCTAAGGGCTGGATCCTGCCTCCTTTCCCCTTGCGGAGGAGTACCTTATTTCACGAATAGCTCTGCTGCATTCAGTGAGACTGTTTAAAGAGCTAGGTGCTGTGATGCCTGTGACTCAGACTAATGCAAGTCAATTTAAAGGACAGATTAAGCGCAGTGTGAGTATGGATTGCAGTGTCTGGTCCTTAATGAATAATTCAGGAGCATGGAGGAGACAATGTAAGAGTTAAGTGCTTAATCCAGCTCTAGGTGAAGTCAGCAAGAGACTTTCCATTGACCCCAGTTTAGAATATGTTTCAGCACGGGTTTAACTGTGAGTTTGTAAATTGTCCCATTGATGGCAGTGTGCTTCAGGCATGAGCTACAACTACTATCTAAATTAGCACCCAGTAGAGTATTATTTATGACCCTCTTGCCTGTCATACTGTCATCAGCTGTCCTCTGCAGCACCAGGAGAGAAGTTTCCTGAGGGCTCAGCACTGCTATTGAGTCATGTTTTTATAGTATTGAAAAATAAAAGATTAGTAACTGGAGTGTCACACCGTTAACGGGAGAAAATACAGGCACAAAGTTTGGCAAAACAAACTTCAAAGGTTTAATTTTGGTTGCTTAGAGCTGGGGATGTTGCTCTCCTTTTGCAAGAACAAGGCACTTGCATGTCATACGGATTTCACCAGAATTGGACACTCAGCACTTCACAGCTCAGGAGTCCACTTGTCCATTCCTGCCAGCAGCTGGGTGATCCGCCTTCACGGGGGTGACTTGAACCCCCAGGCACTGGAACTGCTCCTGGGAGACCCGTTGTGGTGGGGATGGCAGAACATCTGTCTTCTGCTGATGGGAAGCAGAGGATGCTCTGCAACCACAGCTCTTGTTTTATGCTGTGGGTCTGCAGGAACTGTGGGAATCATGTCCTTCCAGCTGTCCCAAAGGGGTTTGCTTTCCCATAAAGGTACATACAGTTCAGTGCCAGTCATAAGCAGTGCTGATTATTTGATGATAGCAGCATCATTGACTTGGAGGGGCAGAGCATCTCCTCTTCCTTGTTGTAACTCTGGAAGTATAAAGCTTCCAGTGAAACCTGTGCCCTTGCTCTCCACCAGCAGATCCTGGCAGTGCAGGAGGCTTTGCCCGTTCGTGCCCGTCGCAGAGCAGGGCACCCCAGACATAGGCTATCTCCTGCACTGAAACGAGGCTTTACAGATACCTGTCCCCTTTTTTCCTGTTTTGGGTTATCTCTGCTTGCTGGGAGAGGTTTGGGGTACAAGGCTGGGATACTTTTCCTGCCATCTGCCTTAAGGCAGCAGGCTTGAAACTTGGCACAGTTAATTCCTGATCTTTGCCAAGCTCTGTTAATAGAGAACAACTCCTCCTGAATAGAAGGCAGTTCATGGTACATAAATAGTGCAGAAGGGGGAGAGGCCAATGTCTTTGCAGGGGGTGAAAGACATACTGGCAGTTGTCTGGTTCTTAAACTGCTTCTGGCCTTGACTCTCTGCTCTTTTATGGAGTGGAGTCAGAGGTGAGAATCATTTTTCTGCCTGGACTTCAGAGTGTGGATGTTGTTGCTTCTGGGGCCTGGTTCCACAGCTGCGATCTCGCTCTGTGTAAATGCGGTCACGTCAGTGAAGTCACATTGGATTTGCTACTGGGAACATGAGCCCGGGATGTACCTGCTAAGATGGATGAGATTGTATGGGCTTCAGGGCATCCTGTCTGATGTTGCCGCAGATATGCTTCCCACCTTACTTTTGCATAGCAGAAATTTCTTTGACTTAAACAGAGTAGGGTTCTGGGAGATCTCTAGTCTGAACTCAGCTGTCTGATGTTAGGCTAGCAAGTCGCAGAGTCTCTGTTTCTTCATCTATATGTGGTGATATGTTTTTAATAAATAATAATGATTCCCAACATTAAACTGGCACTT